TCATTGCAAAGGCCCATATTTGACATTGCAAAGATTCATCCCCTTAATCTCACATTTCTGCCCCTAAGATCTAAAAAGCATGGGACACTGCTGATGTGAGAACCATATGCCATGGATTGCTCCATATTCTCAACATTGCCTTCACCCTAGTCAGGAAGTATCCTCCACCACATTTTTTAAAAAGTTTAAACCCTTATTATCAAACTAAGTAAGGTTTGCTGAGAGGTTTACTTCACTTAAAAGCAACTGTACAGGCTCCATTTGGGGCACGTGGGCCCATCATGCCATGGGCCTGTGATGCTTAAAGGAGTAACCATTTGTCCCCAAGCATTACAGCTCGCACAAATCTCACACACTTGTGAATAGCCAAATATGGAGGATAGAAGATAGCAGGACTCTCCATATCATTTGGAAGAATGAGACAAACGCCTCATGTCACAGAGGTGGGGTGATAGTGGGGGAAGCAAAGCCAGCCCCCCCAGCTATTCTCTGTCAATAAACCAAGCTCTATATGCTTATCTGGCAACCTCTATTCTATACTAACCTTTAAATGTGTGGATATCTCATACAGATTTAAGCCTGGAAAAGAAGTAAGTACAGATGAAACCCAAAATGCTGCTTCCCAATCAAGAGCAGGGCAGACATCCTGTGTTCATAGTGACGATTAAGCATGTACATACAGCAGAGAACTCCTTTGGTGATGAATGGGTGGCATTGTTGTATTTGTGCCATGCGTTCATCTCAACTCCTCTTAATTACCTAAAGATGTATTTATGCAGATGCTTGCTTTTATAATCACAAAAGATCCAAATTCAATCATGCCATTTGCAGGTAGTGCTTGGTTAAAAAAACAAAAAACAAAACCATCCTTCTTGATATCCCAGACAGCCTCTTCTGGTCACTATGAATCACACTAAACTTGATGGGTCTATTCCTGTTCAATACAGTCTTCCTTGTTCCTTTTCCTCATTCGCTTTATCGTATGTGTGTTCTAATATTCTTCTGTATAGTCAGTGAACAGTGACAATACTCTTTTCCCCCTTGGTTTTTATTAGGCTTACCTTTTCAAAATATGAGAACAAAAAAAATAAAATAAAATAAAAAAATTACACATCGGAAGGTAAAGATTGCTTCCATTTCCTCATTGTTCATCGGAAAGTAAAGATTGCTTCCATTTCCTCATTGTTATGGGGCAGTTTGGAAAATACTGCCAGAATGGAAATTAGTCAGGGGAATACTTCAGGCTAATTTTCAGATAGAATTAACATAATTCCAATTCTGGCACTCTCTGGCTGTTAGGCTGTTTCTGTGAGGGAATGCAGTTACTCAGTAGCATGAATGCAGTAGGGCACTCTGTGTGTGTGTGTCTGTGTTCGCATTTGTGTGTTTGTGTGTGTGTCTGTGTATTGCAATTGTCATTGAAAGTACCCTTTTAGTGCCTCATGAGGCTTGTTACAAGGTAAAACATAATTTGCCTCAGCAATTAACACGTTTATAGGCTTACTATGCATTTTGAAAAAATGACACACACAAAAAACTCTGCACACCTTTTAAAATGTGAGTGACTGAAAATGTACACCATTTAAAACATATGAACAAAAATGTCTTACCCAATGGGAAAATTGTTCACAAAATGTAAAAAGAATACATGCAGAAAAGGCATACAAACATTGATATGGGAAATGAAAACAGAACCTCCTAACCTGATCATGAAGAGAGGAATTTGGGGCTCAATTCCATGGACAATAAAGCCTGCTGTTGCACAGGGTTCTTTTAAAAAACCTTAAATTTTAGGTACAGGCACATGTGGAGCCCTGTGGCAGGGGAGCAGGTTTTTCTGCTCCTCTGCCAGAGGTCCATTTATTTTGAGTAGATGCGGAATCAATTCCTTTGAATCAGTTGCATATATGTGAACACTCTATTCACTTTTCATTAATTCCTGCTATCTGATACAGCTCTGTCCCAGATAGCAAGAATTAAATAAATAAATAAAACCCAGCATCCACCCAATCGGCCTCCTTCACTCACTCACCCCCTCGCTCACCCTGATCACCCTTTCACCCACTGGGTTGCCCTTTTCCTTGCCCACTTGCCCACCCTCGCTCACTTGTCCCCTTTCCCACCTGATCATCTATTCACATGCCTGGTTGCCCCTTTCCTGGCTGGTTGCCCCCCTTGCTCATTCACCCCCTTGCCTGCCCAATTGCCCTTTTGCCTACCTGGTTGCCCCTTCACCCATCCAGTCACCCCCTTGCTTTCTTGCTACCTTGCCCTCTGGGTCACCACCCCCTGCTCACCTACCCACCCAATTGCTCACCTTCTCTCACACCTTCCCTGCCTTCTTACTCACCCACCTACCCACCCTTCAGTCACCTGTCCCCTGCCCTCCCACCCTCACCCTTCTCTCTCATTTCCCCTTCCACCCTCTTATCCTCCTCCCCCTCCCTTTCTGTTCTGCCCCTATCCCACTTCTGCCCCTGTCCCGGTGCAGCAGACCCACCTGAGCAGAAACAGAGCCTGCGGCAGCAACAACAGTGACAGCTGGGGGGGTTGAGGAGAAGGAGACAGTGGTGATGGTGGTGAAGACACACAGGGTGCAACAAAACTTTGGGACACCAATCCCTCTTCCGATCTATTCCAGCAATGGGGAAAGGCTCATAGATAAAGTAACACAGGTTGGTTTTAGACAAACACAATAAAAGATAAAGCCTGGGAGTGTTACACAACCCTACTAAATTGTCACCTCCTTTCCCCCTCCTCCCCTCCCTATCTATTTTCCCTCATTTGTCGCCATATTCATCTCTTGTGTACTGGATTAGTTTGGTTGGTTGGATACATGTAGCTTAACAATGCGCTATAATATTGATGCTAGTTGTGGAATCTTGAGAAGGGGAGAGAAGTCATTTTAGGGAGATATGGAACTATTAATTGGTGTTTCTTCTAAAGTATTTTAAAAATAAAAGGCAATGATGATGTCACGTTTTTTTAAAAAAAAAAAACATAGTGGAAAAATACTTATCCAAAAACTTAAATGCTCAGTTCCCCTTCATACTTCAGAAAAAACTTGGAAAATCCAGATATCTACACATTTTTGGATTTATGTTTATTTTTACAAGCCCTCTAATTGCATTATGGTCACAAGGATTCCAAATGGGGTGTGTGGAAGCCCCCTGAACTACTCTGAGTCCAATTAAAGGGCATACAGGTCAGGGCCACCTCACCCAGTACCCTTCAGGAGATCGTCCAACTCACTTAATCCCCAGGTTCATGCCATTATCTGTGTGCTTTCTGCTGTTGTTGTTTTGGTTGGTTGTTTTCTAAAATTCCTGCAAACGGAGAAGTGTAAATGATTATGACCTGGAGGAAGGGACTACAGGGCACCTTGATTGTGTCATTTACCTATTCAAAATCCACAGAATAATCATTCTTCAGCCATCACACACAGAGTTGTAACACTGCCAGAGGAATGGAGTGGTAATCAACCTCTGAGTATATCTAGAAAACCGTGGAAAAGTCTACCTGGTGGCATGTTTTAAAATGTTTAGTAAAATAAGCAAATGAGAGAACAAAGAAAAAGAAGACCCAAAGAAGTCTATCTAAACAATGATAAAAGTCTTTCTCTTCACTCTATAAATCATGAAATGGCTGAACGGAATCTGAAGGGTCTATTCTGATGCTGCTCAGTCCTGGCTGATGAAGAATGTGCTCTGTACTCCATCATGTAGCTGAGCAGAGCTGTTAATGATATGAGATTTTGGAGGTCACTCATTCATAGGCTAGCCATACAATGAAGGTGATTTGATGGCACATAATAACAGCATAGGCACTCCAGAATTACACAGATACCCCTGATTTAGCCCCTATCTGCACATCTGTTTGAAGACAGTATGCATGACTAATTCCAACCATTCAATGCTAGGTTATTCGGCAAAATATCAAAGGAGGTAGATCTCAGTGCACATATTGGGAGACACAGTTGATCATGTGAGAGTAACCCACAGTCCTACCTATTTAGGGCTCTCTCTATGAAATTTGGAACACTGAAATTCCAAAATGTATAGAAAGAGTGTCATATGTATATGAGTGAGCATGGAGACACTTCCTGCAATGGACAGTTGGATGTACATCACAGATGAGAAGAATGCTTGCTAAATTCTTCATTCATTTTGATTTGGGCTGTCTGGACTGCTGCCATTGGTGTTGTCTACATTCAGGCTGCTCTTTGCTTGGCATTGTTTTTCCTGCTAGCAATGTGGTCATGATACTGTACAGCAATATTGGGCCATTTCCTTGCTTTTTGAATCATGAGTACAGAAGCACAATATCCCACATTCATAAACCAGATCTTTTTTTTGAAGAACTGAATTTACACATACAGTGGAGATGGATGAATCACTCTTTCAATCCATTGCATCCAAAGCTTCTCCATTCCCCTGAGACAGGCCTGTTAAAAGCCTCTCAGCTAAACCTGTCTGAAACTACAATAGCTAATCCTCCCACCTCCACATATATCTTCAAGGAGCAGATTAAAGATTTTAAAAATCCATTGGTCTCTCACCACTGGCAAGACTGCCCTTGGCCCATATGCCACACAAGCGTGCAATGTCTGGGTGTGGCAATAAATTCACTAGGTTACCACCCTCTCCACCTTGTTCATTTACACGGCTGAGTGGAGAAAATGGAAAGGAGGAAAGACCGGATCCATGGTTTTTTTTTTTTCAAATGCAGTAAAATAATATTAAACAATATTCACACCAAATCCAGAGTTGCAGCTGAAACTCTCTACCTTATTTATTGGTTTTGGGGTGCCAAATATTCTCAGGGAAGAATATATGAGATTCCAAAAATAAACCTTTCAACACTCATATCTGGGAGCAAATTCTGAAAAAAAAATCAGGCCAGTTCTTTAAACATCAGCAAAAAGGAAATGTTGCTAGAACACCTGGTTATGTTTGATCATTATATGTATATAAACCATTACTTTGCTGTTTCTTTTCCAGTGCCACCTGTCTTTTCTGTCAGCTACTTTTCAGGATGCCATAAACCAGCATATTTCAGCAAAAAATGGGGAAATGAAGGTGGTGCAAAAAACTACAGTCTCATCTGAAAATCAACAAGGAAGTGACATACAATAAAATCATGCGTATGGTTGTCTTGGCACTGACTCTTCCTCTATTGGTACCAAGAAACAGTCTGCTCATATAGTCTTTTCATTGATGTGTTTTTTTTCTTTCTAGAATTTACAACATGACATGTTGCTACAGATATTAACATGACTCCACCAGCTCTCCCAAGTGGCCATTATTGCCAAAGGAGACTTTTTTTTTAACTCCCCCCCCCCAAAGTATTGACACAGCTNCCCCAAAGGATTGACACAGCTGTGGTAACAAGACTACTGGAAGCACTGAAATTCAACACTAGATATACATTTTTCTCCTTTATTTCATTTCTGCCAGCCATATTTCTCAAAATACCTTGGAGGTAAATTTGGAAAGTTACAATTTACACCATTGATGATCCTTTCTTTTCAGAGGTGGATTTGCCTCTCTTCTGAAAGATTATTTTCTGATTGACACAGCTGTGGTAACAAGACTACTGGAAGCACTGAAATTCAACACTAGATATACATTTTTCTCCTTTATTTCATTTCTGCCAGCCATATTTCTCAAAATACCTTGGAGGTAAATTTGGAAAGTTACAATTTACACCATTGATGATCCTTTCTTTTCAGAGGTGGATTTGCCTCTCTTCTGAAAGATTATTTTCTGTGTTTTTAAAAATGCTAAATATAAATTAAACAGGAAATAAAGGAGTTGTTCTTAGATGTGCAAATCTTTTAAATATCCTGTACATTTGGGCTTTTGCAATATCTTCCTATTTTAGGGTGTTATGAATGATCTCCTAGTTAGAAGAATTAAGGAATCAGTTTGAATATTATTACCATAAATTAAGAAAAGGTGCTATATTTAAGACTTGGATCTTGGCATGGTAATGAATAAAAGACTTCATTTCCAGAATATATATATATATTCTATCCGGACAGACACCTCACTTTACCATTTATTTGATGAACATTGCCAGAGTACACTCTCCTGATATAAAGTGCCTTAGGTGACTCAGTAAGACTTCCTAATGTTGATGGAGTATTTTAACAACCTTTTTTGACCCAACTCATTCCAAAACAAACAAAACTTCAAACAGCTCAAATGGTCCCTCAGTCTTAGTTACTTGCAAATATGGTCTGGATAATCAGCTGGCTGCTGTTGAAAACATTAGAGAAAGAGACCATTTATCCCTAACATAAGTAGGAAGGAGCAGCTTTCTGAATTCCTGCCGCCCAACCAGAAATAAAGACAGATGCATCAGCACCAGGTCTAGAACATTCTGTAGTACTAAAGCATCCTGCAGTTTTTCCAAGCACTCTCCTTAGCAATAATACACTTCCATGTCGGGACCAATAAGATTCACAGTAAAGAGAAATAATTATACTTCTTTGAACCCATTCATTCCTGTGCTTTACAGAACAAAAAAAGAAAATCAGTATTCTAGTATCAGAGACAAGCCTGTGTTACATTTATAAATCTTTGATTTTTTTCTCTAAAGGAAGATTTATTGTAGAATTTCGGAAGTTCAGTGCTGTTGGTTTTCCACAGGTACTTCAAAATCTCAATGTGTGTGTGTGTGTGTGTGTGTGTGTGTGTGTGTATGTACACAAACACACGCAAGCACAGATTTTTTCCTAAAAGGCCTTACTCTGGGTGGACGCCAAAAGGGTGCATGAATAGGGCACCTTTACCTGCTATGCCTGGATCAGGCCGCCCAGGCACCTATTGGCTGCCCTGGCTCGCCTGATAACGGCTTTTTAAAGTTTGTCCTGCTCTCCAGCAGACCTCTTTGTAAGGCGAAGCAATCAATCTGCCTGCCTGCTCTCAGAGTCCGGTGTGAGGTTATTTATTTGTTTGTTTGTTTGTTTGTTTGTTTGTTTGTTTGTTTGTTTGTTTGTTTGATTTATACCCCACCTATCCGGTCCGAAAGGACCACTCTAGGCGGCTAACAACCATAAAAATAATACAAGACAATGAAAATAGACAATTCTAAAAGCACTACATTAAATCACGTAATACACAAGACAAAAAAAAAAGAAGAAGAGGGAGGTCAAGAGGTGTATGATGGAAAGGCCTGCCGGAACAACCATGTCTTCAATTGCTTCTTGAAGACACCCAGCGAGGGAGACCTGCGGATCACAGGAAGTAAGTTGTTCCAGAGGCGAGGAGCCACCGCCGAGAAGGCCCGATTTCTTGTCTTCTCCTTCCGGGCCTCCCTCGGCATTAGGCTCCTCAGCCTCACCTCCTGGCTCGCGCGAGTGACACGGGTAGATCTTGG